AAGGAAGAACTCCTGTCAATTGGTCTTCCAAAATTTTTAAATTGTCGCCTGCGGCGCTGAAATGGTGAATTTTTTGGCCTATGGCCTTCTAAAATTCTCAAAATTTTCGCCTGCGGCGCTGAAAAAAGAAGAGGGTTGAAGTTGGTCATGCTCCTTGATCCCTCCAGATCCCATGATATTCTCCGTAATCCCCGATATCTCAATAAATCCCCTTGGTCCACTAAATCCCCAATATCCTTCATAATCCAGCTGTAATCATTATCCATTCAAACCCGTATATTTTCGGCCTTACAATTTTATGTATGAATAATTTTAAAAAATACTTAATATCTCTTATCTCGTGGTCTCGTATCTCGTGAAATCTCGTATTTTTTGAGACATCTCGTATCTCGTTTTATCTCGTTCTCGTATTTTTTTGAAAATCTCGTATCTCGTAAATCTCGTGTCTCGTATTTTGTGGCACGAGCTGCACCCCTGGTAAATACTCAATAATCAACCCTCCCTCCCCCCCCCCTTCTCCCTTTCCCTCTATTAATTACCCTCCCTGCTTAACATCCCAAATAATTAATCCGTTAATTTTTATAAAAATAACTCTAATTAAGCTATATTTCCGATTTAGAGGACATATAGTTTATACTCTTTGTTTATTATAAGAAATATACTTAAATGGTAGTACTTAATTTGGAACTAAAATTAAAAATATATCCAAAAAATAATTATTTGAGAATTTTTGTATTTAAATAAACTTAAATCGTTTTATTTTATTTTTTGCAATAATAAATACATTTTTAATTGATTGTTATTTTATATATAGAAAAAAAAAATATTTAAAAAAACTTTTTATTCTTTGTGTTTTTATTTGTTTAATAAAATATTATTTTTAAAAATATAAATTCAAAAAATAAAACACTCTATAAAATTTTGCAAATATATGTATTGCTCCTCTCTATCTTAAAAATGTTTAATAAAAATATTTTATAAATTAAATAAATTAAGAGCTAACAAAAAATTAAAATTTATTTTATTTTAAAATTTAAAAAATAAATTTAAAAATTATTTTAAATAAAAACTTTATTTTTGTAAAATATTTTGCAGCAAATCAAAATAAATTTCATTAAATTCTTTTAAATTATTCCGTACATTAAATGGCCAAGCATTTATAAAATTATTTTAGAAGGAATTTTATTTAATATATTTTTTTTGGATGATTAGTATTTTCTTTTGAATTTTTAATTTAAGATTTTTAATCCTTAAACGATGACAAATTATTTTAAAAAAGTGAATAAATTAAAAATAAATAAAGAGTATTTTTAAAAAATATTTATTTTAAAATTAAGTGGAAAAAACAAAATTAATTATTATTAAATTTATAAAAAATATTTAAATTAATTTAAATTTTCTAAAAAAGTTTTTTTAATTTTTTTATTAAATAATCCTCCATTCTTTTTAAATAAACGATCAATTGCCAACAAAGTCATAATTGAAAATTGAATAATTAAAAGAAAAATAAGTGAAAATATAATTAACCAAAATGTTGAATTTGATAAACAAATCTTTTTATTTTTAATTAAAAATTAATTTTTAAAATTATTTTTAATTAACCTCTAATTTTTCGTTTTGTTTTTTAAATTCAATATTAGTAGATTTTAATAATTTCTCGTTATTTGGAAATTCTTTAAAATAAAAATAATTTTTACAAAAAATATTTTTAAAAGAAAAACCATTTCTTTCAATTTTTGAATAAATTCTTCTTTTATTTTTATTATTTATTTTAACTAATTTTACATTGTTACTTTCATTATTTTTTCTTTCTTTATTTAAAGGCAAAAGTAAATCATAATCGGGAATTAAATTATTAATTAAAGTTGTTGTTGATAATAAATTATTTATTTTTCTTTCAGAATTTTTAGAAAAAATATTTTTATTTAAAAATTTTGTTGAGGAAGAAGTTCTGTTTTGATCAACTAAAATAATTTTTAATTTTTTAAAATTATTTTTATTTATTTAAAAATTTAACCAAAATATTGAATATCATCAGAATTATCTAATACACGAATTAACCCAACAACATCTAATAATTCTTGAACACCCTCTTCTCTGTTTGTTTTTCTTTTACTTCTTTTATTTTTGAATTTCCCAATTCCATTAATTATTTGAAAAGAAGATAATGAACGTCTTTGACGATATGGACTATGAGAAATAATTTTTTAGAAAAATTTTTAAAATTAAATTTACCTAATATTCGTTGGTTGTTCTGTTTTTCCCGAAACAATTTGTGTTCCACTTAATGCTGAAATTGGCCTTCCTGGCCCATATGGCCGAATTGATGGAGGACCTACAGGTTGGTCAGCAGCTGCCCATGATGTATTCGGAGATTTTTGTGTTGTTGTTGTTGTTGTTGTTGATGGAGATGAATATCCTCCTCCTCCCTCTCCTTTTGTATAGAAATGTGTAACAATATTATTACCTCCTCCGCTTCCACTAACCTAAAAGAATATTTTTTAAGTAATTTTTAATTATTTTTCTTTCAAACCAAAGTAATATCTTGAGGGATATTTAAAGCATCTCGCCCTATTGAGGGAGGGCCAACTGTTTCTGATCTTTCAGACGGTACTGGAAAAGCAGATGGACGTTGTAAAATTTGTTCAACAGTTGGAGAAAGTGAGGGAGGTGAACCAAGACCTAATACAGCTGCAGATCCACTTGCTGGAGAGGATTGTGGAGCTGGAGAGGAAGGGCCAGTTCCTGGAGCAAGTGGACTATCCGAGTCTTCTAAAGGGTCTTCAATGCTTGGACAGGTTGTTGGTGGCTATTTGAAATAAAATTTAGAAAAATTCCAAAAAAAATAAAAATTAACAGTTGTAGAAGAACATCCTCTTCCTCTATTTTTAACACAAAGACGAAGTTGACATCTGAAACGAGTCATTGACTTATCAACAAATTTAAATACACTAGATTGCTAAAAAATAATTTTAAAACTTTTCATTAGATTAATTATTTACTAAAAATGCTGTATGTAAATCACTGCTATATTGGGGAGTTTTAAATAAATATTGATCAACACCACAACTAAATAAAATATTTTTGAAAAAAAAATCTTATTTTTTATTCTTTACCCATTTTGATCAATTATTAAAATTTTATCTCCTTGTAAATCCTCTACATGACAATTTTGAACTAAAATCCCGACATTTTCACTACTACATTGCCAAACATGAAAAACTGTTTCTCCTACAACAGCTGCATGTACCTATATAAATATTTCTAATAATTTTTTTAAAAATCAACTTCAGGTCCATCAACAGTTCCTTTGCGTATAGAATAAGAACAATGAGGATTTGATGCCTCGTCGAATTGTGGATCCTATTTTTAATTAATTAATCTCTTTTTTAAATACCTATACAGCCTTTTTTGGCTAATAATTTTTATATATTTAATTAAACTTGCCAATTCATTTGGTGTCATTTCACTAATGGCAATATTCTTAAATTTTATTAACAATTTAATTTAAAAAATAAATTCTACAAACTCTTTCTAAATCATCAACTAAATTAGCTTCCATATAAACACATTGAGCACAATAAGAACGATCAGAATCCGTCACAAAAAGTGGATGAATCTAATTTAAATATTTTTAAATAAATATTTAAAATAAATTTTAATTTGCCTGAACTGATAAACAAATTCTATACATTGTACCAGAAGGATTATCCTTTAAAAATAATTTTTTTATTTATTTTTTATTTAAAAAAACAGACAATATGTTCTGTAGTCATTCCACATTCCCCGTGATTAAATATAATTTTATTTTGATTTCTAGTCATACATTTTGTTGTATCGTGAAAATCTTCGGCATAAATATGGGAGGGATTAGCACTTGATGTTCGAATCGAAAACAAAATTTAATTTTAAATAAAATAGAATTTAATTTTACTTTAATAGAAATACTTTCATGTTCACAATTAACAATTGGTGTGTCAATAATTTCATTTGGATATTTTGCATTAATTAAATTGTTAATAATTAATAAAATGAAAAGAAAATAAAAAATAATTTTTTGTTGATTTTTAAACATAATTTTTGAGAAAATAATTTTAAAAAGAATATTATTTTAGAATGTTGCAAAAATATTTTTATTTATTTAATTAAAAAACAATTTTCTCATTCCTTTTAAAAGCTAAAAAATATTTTTAGAAAAGTGAAAGAAAAACAATTAGAAGATTTTCTATTTAATAATAATTTTGTTTTTAAGGACTATTTTCTTTTCCTTTTTTGTTCAGCCAAAAATGAACTAATCAAGGAAAAACAATATGTATAAATATATTTTATAAATTATTTAATGGTCTTTAAAAAGAATCTTGCGTGATTGGTTAATTTTGAATAAATAAAAATTAAATATATTAAAAAGCTAATAATAACAGAATATTAAGAGGGTCATTTAAGGTGAAAACATTTATAGAAATTTTACAGACCGGACCTTGGAAATTCTCTTTAATTATTGCTTTTACGAGAGAGCCGTTTTCTCTCTCAAGTTATTCTGTTCATTCAATTCTCCTTATTAATGGCGTAAAAAATAAATTTTATAAATTACAAGAAGCAAAAGGGCATTTAATATTTGTATTTAGATATACTTGACAATAAACATTTTGCCGTTAAGTATTTCTCCTCAAAAAATGTCAATGCCAACTTTTAAGAATTTAATTTTAAATTGTCTTTCCATTAATAATATGCATAAAAATTAAAGTTTAAACAATTAGAAAAAGTAAATTTAGAAGAAAACATCTACACACAATAACTCGATTTTATAATTTTACAAAAAAAACAAATACAACAAAATCCATATACAATATACAACAGTTATAACTATATAGGTGTGGATATGTTATAGATACACTATGTTTTTTGGATTTATATAATCAGTACTAATATTACAATGAATTTTTTCTTTATTATTTGAATTCATCCCCAACTAGAAGTTTATCTTTGCTCACATCTCTCATTTAGACTACAATTGCTCGTGACATCTTCCTAGAACGAGCAAGTACATGCATTCGCATGTGTTTCACTAGCGCCGGATTCTTCAGATCCGTTTTGCTGCCAAACATTGAGAGAGCAATCCTGTGAAGGTCAGAACAATACTTAGGCATCCTCTAAAATAAGGGAAAATTTTTTTAATTAATCAGAAATATGTATTTACATCTTGCAACGTCCACATATTGATGGTCATCGAACCAGAGATCAATATGCACAACAACGAGGATACCATGAAGACGAGCAAAGCCTCTCGCTTACTAAAACCTGAGAGCAGATCGTTTGTCACTTGCTGAAGAAGAGGCAATTTGTCCAACGCTTTGTCCCAGTAGGCAGTGTTGAACATACAGAATATGATGAGCACGAAAGCGACAGAGAAAATGACGAAGGAGGTAACCTAATGGGTAAAACAAAGCGTTAAAATGACGAATAAGTTTATCTCTTACATGAAGCCAGAACATTGGCAACAACATCCATGTTTTCTGCCTGAGACAACCCAACAAGGCCAGTAAGCACATGCATCCAGCAATGAAAAAGCCGAAGAGATGATCAGGAGGGCATTTGCAATTGTATCCGATTACAGCAAGTTCCAACAAGTACATTAACATTATGAAGGACGTGATGCCCTAAAAGTGATAAAGAAGATTATTAAAAATGAAATTTCATTTCTGCATAGTTATACATTTAAAAATACCCACCAATGCGCGCTTGTAGTAGCGAAACTGTTCCAATGCCATTTCGAGTTCAGAAGCCGAAACACAATTACAGCTTTCCCTAGCTCCATTATTGCAACCTCTCGTTGTCGTTGTAGTTGCCGTCGTCGTGCCGACATTGTATGGAGGAGGAGCAGGATCGACTTCTAGTGTATCCATCGATGTCAATGTTTGTAGATTGAGAAATGGAATACCTAGTTGTGATTATGTATTTTGGAATTTTCAAAATATGTTGGCTTTTATACATGTAAATACAGCCCCCCCCCCCCCCCATCAAATTTAAAAACGAATCTAACTTTTGGGAGCGTGTAAATGCGTGGTCCGAAATTTTATATTTTACAAATTTTGTCTTTTTTCCATGTCTGGTATATCCAAAACTTCTTTGATATGCTAAGAAAAATTAAAGAATTATGTGTTTTTAAGAGTTATGCTTGGTATTTTTTGCTAAGAATAATAATTTTTGAGAGTTTTGAATTATTTATCCATGGGTTTTTAATTAAAAAATTTTCCAAGAACGAACAGAAAAAAATATATGTAATATATTTTGTAGATAAAAATGGTACTATCGCATTATACCGCCACATGTCCGCAAATGTTTGTCCGCAGGTTTTTCCTTTTTCTCTTGTCATAAAGATGAAAAGGATGGAAAATATTATATACGATGTTCGTGCTGTGGAAAAATTCATTGGATGGGAGATGGAATAGAACCATCATGGAAAGTTCCCAGACCGAAGCACAACCGACTGTGCCACCATCCAACCCGATGCTGGATTATTTATTTTTCATTTATATTCTTTCTGCATGTGCGGACACAAAACTCATTCCGCCTTGCGAAACCAAGCGTCCAATAACTATCAACTGTTTTCGATTTTTGGGAGAGCACACAAAGAACTCGTCGAGTTCTATAATATGACTTACTGACCATTTTTAATACTTTGAGGAAGGAAAAAGGAGGGAAAACGAACTTGAATTTTACCATCCTTGTCTAAATCCAGGTGGTACGTGTCGTTCTACAGTATTTATTAGGGTAGGAACTTTGTTAGAAGGAAGTCGTATCCCATTTGCTCCCTTTATTTATGCGTGGACTTTTTTCCGAAAAACCTTTTGAGAACAGAGAAAAGGAAAACTTGTTATTAATCATTTACCGTTCTTTTAATCTTTATGAGAAGAGAGAGGATGGGAGAAGAAGGAAAAACCTGCGGACAAGAATTTGCGGACATGTGGCGGTATAATGCGATAGTACCATAAAAATTAATTTTCTTAATTTTTATTTATTTTATTAACACAAAATTTGTTATTAAAAAAGAAATTAAATTTGAATTATACTTTGATTATAAACAAAGTTAAATTTAAAAATTTTATTTTCAATTCAACTTTTAGGTTTATTTGTATATTTTTGATTTAAAATTTTAATCACAAATTAATATTTTTAAAACAAAATTCTTATTGATCAACTTCAATTTAAAGTTTATACTATCAGATATTTTGCAATGAGAGGAATAAAAACTTAGAAATTATTCAACGGCATTTAAATTATTATCAAAGAATTTTAACAAATATATTTATTTGTTAGTTTTGGAAAATGTTTTTGACTCAAAGGAAATCGAGAAATTTAAATTCTTTTTAACATTTTTTAACTCTCTTTCAAGTGATATCTGTAAAGTTTTTTGATTGCTTACAAACTTAAAAAACTTCAAATTTCAACCTATGAACTATAAGGCTTTACTTTTACTATAGACAATTCAAAAACAATCTAAATATTTTATAAATAAATTATTAACGTTATAATAAGAACAAAGTAAAATAGATATTTTTTATTATGAAAAGAATTTCTTTTTATTAAAAAATATTTCCTATCTTCATCTAGCGAGACTTTTTAGACTCTTGTGCTCGAACATGCAATCCTAGATGTTTCATTAATTCCATGTTATTCGGGTGTGGATTTAAGCTTAAAACGTCAAAAGCGATATTGTGAAGTTCATAGCTATATTCAGGCATCATCTAAAATAAGTGGAATTTTTATTTAAAAAATTATTTTGAAATACTTTAATCAATGTCCAGATACGAAAAGCATTCTTAAATCTTATGATTATGCACCACAACCTTAATACCAAAAGTAACTTCGGCCACTTGGTAAAGCCAAACGAGAACAGTATTTCCAATATTTGTCGAATCAAAGGATTTTCAGTTAACGTGGTACAGTATGTGGTATTGCGCATACAAAATAAAGTTATAACAAAGCCCGTCAATGAGAGGGTGAAATAGAATATCTAATAGGAAGAAAATATGTATTATTAAATCAATTCGATTAATTCTTACATGCAGCACCAATGCTGGATATATCATCGAGATTTTCTGCTTGTAACAGCCCCGAATTGCATTTATACCAGCGAACACATTAATGAAACAGAAAATTATAGCAACAATACCATCCATAAATATATAAGCTATCAGAGGCGCCAAAATCATGTAGCTGATGCTGATAACGATTATCCTACCCTAAATATTTAAATGGTATAAAATGTTATTAACCTTAACCTACCAATAAACGTTGATAAACATAAAAACGATTTAATGCCTCATTGAACTCGTTTATCGAAGTCGGAAGACAGCTACAACCACCTTTACTCACATTATTGCAGCACCTAGAAGTACTTGTAGAACCCGCCGTACTTGCTGTAGAAGCACTAAAGGAAGAGGCAGTATCAAGATCAAACTCTGGCGCCCGCATCGAAAACTTGTAGAAATTAGACTAATCCTAAACTGTTTATTAATTTATAACTGATTCGTGATTCATCTGCTTTTATATTAGAAACTTTTATGATTCAACTAAACACAAGAGAGAGATTGTTATTCATTTTTGTCACATGCCTCAAAACCTTAAAATAATTTATAATTAAAAAATCCTTCACATATTTAATAATTATTTTATCCAAATTAAAAGTAAAATTCAATTTAAAAAAATAACCACAAAAATATTAAAATAATTAAAATTAAAAAATATTTTGTTCAAATCTACAATTCCAATGATTATTAAATTCTTTCTTCATTTCATTCAAAATAATTAATTTTGCCTCTCTTTTATTAGAAAAAGGTCCACAAATACGAAATTGTGCAGGAAATAAAGGATAAAACCAAATAGCAACAGCTAAATGAAAATCAGAAAAAGCAAGTTTATAAAAGGGAGGTGTAGCAACGCCAATCATTTCTGCAAGTTCTAAACAAAATTGAACATGATCTTCCTAAATTTTACAAAAAATATTTCTCTTAAATTAATATTTTTCTTTTTTACAATTTGTGTATGTCTTCGGGTCTTTATATAATTAACAGAAATATTACAACGCCTTTTTTCTAATTCATCTTTCATACAAAATGGGGAAGGAAGTTTAACATTTCCACTAAATACTTCAAAAAATAGACGAGATTGTAATTCAGCAATTGGCCATTTAGAACCAGCAATTGGCTAAAAAAATTAAGAATTTTTAAAATTTATTTTAATAAATGTATTAAAATGCCTGAACATGTCCAATTACAGCCAAATTATTGTGAGGTGTTAATTCTGGTATAAACATGTGTTTGTACTTAAATTAGATAAGTTTAAATTGAAAAAGATTGTTTAATGTTAGATGTGTCTAGAGAGGTATTAAAAGTAGAGATGCCCCTTATAATAACTTAGAATATTTGAATAAATCCGTTATTTTCTTTTTTATATGTTTAGTGAAAATGAAAAATCACCAAATGAAAGTCATTGTGATGTGTAGCTATTAATTTTCCATTTTCAACAAATTCAAAATTAAATTCATATCCAGTACAAAGAATAATATAATCAATTTCTTTTTCTATAGTTCCATCAACAAATTCAATTTCATTTCCATCAGATAAAGACCAAATATCTGGTTTAATTCTGACATTTCCTGTTGCAAAATGTAAAGACAATTCTGTACCAAACCCTAATTGAGTACTAAAAATTCTTTTGAAATTAAAGAAAAATTAACTTTTAAGAACCTAAATAAATTATGAACAGGGCAATAACCAGCCCCTTTTATTGGATGAACAGGAAGCAAAGATAATGAATTGGTCGTATTTTGTACAAATTTACTTCTCAAAAATTTGGGAATAAATTGTCGAATTAATGAATTCCAACGAGTATTAAAATGATCACAAAAAGATTTTCCTTCTTTACAGAATTTGTTTAAAAGCCAACCACCACGACGGGCTGACAATAAAACCTGAAAGAATATTTAATAGTTAATCTCTATATAACGTCAACCCCCGGGTCGGATTTTGCCGAAGTAAAAAAGGGCATAAACGTGGAAGGGGACGACGTTATGGAGAACTTTTTTACAGTAATTATATTTTACTTGTTTGGCTACAGGTGCAAGAGCTGTTGCTATTTCTACAGCAGAATATCCAAATCCAACCACACAAACATTTTTATTATAAAATTTATTTAAATCACCAATTCTATCAGAATGTATTATTTGTCCCTTAAATAAAAAATTATTTTTTTAATTTTATAAAATTTTGTTAACTTTAAATTGTTTTTCAAGTCTCCATTCAGGTGGTCGCCAACTTTTAGGATGCATTCCAGTACAAATAAGTACAGCATCAAATTCTTCTTCAAATATTTTATTTGTTTTAAAATCTACCCAAGTAATTAACCATTGACCTTTAAAGAAACAAAAAATTATTTTTCAATTAAATATATTTAAAAACCATTTAATTTCCATTCATTTGATCTTTTAATTTGCTTAACTTCAGTTCTCAACCTAAGATATTTTGACAAACAAAATTTCTTCACATATCTCTTTAAATAAACAATAACATCACTTGGACGTAAAAATAAAGGAAAATCTTCAGGAATTGGAAATTCACTAAATGAGCATATTCTTGAAGTTATTAATGAACTAAATGGTGGAATTGGTTGCCCTTTAAATAACATTTAAATTATTTTAAATATGTAAATACTTTCAGCATCCGGATCCAATGCCATTTGCCAAACACCTCCAATATTTTGTTGTCTATCAAAAATACAAACATCATGGCCATATTGCTGTGCTTGTCTTAAATTTTGTATTTAATTTTTTAAAGAACAAAATTCTTGTTTATTTATCCAAAAAATATTTTTCAATTTATTTATAAAATATTTTTTTAATTACCTGGCTGCTGTCAAACCACAAGGACCTGCTCCAATAACCGCAACTCGTTTATTTTCAAAAAACATGGGAATTGGCCAAATAACATTTGGATCGTTGAAGAAAATAATTATTTACTTGTAGAAAAAAGACGATCGCTACCTTCACGCAACTTTATTTCTTTTTGGAATTAATGTTTGCGGAACCGCCTTTTTTCCATATCAATTAAAAGTAACTCTATTATTAACTCTATTTTTAAGTGTTTAATAAATATTAAAATGATAAATTCTTTTTGCATTTAATGCTTCCGCCTTTTGCAAATATTGTGTTTATACCTATGTATATATCATAATTTAATTTCTTCTCAATTTTCTATTAAATAATTGAATGTTAAATAAATTATAACTAATTTTAGAATCTCAATAAACATTAATAATCGATTTTTAATTTATCAAAAAATTAATTAAACCAAATTAAGTCAAAATTAGATTTAAATAATATTTCACAATCAGCAAAATACAAATTTACATCCATCCCATTCCAATTCATTAAAATTTGTTGGCGCAATTATTGAAGACTTTTCTTTCTCCAAAACTTCGTTTATCCCATTGCACTGATTGCGACCAGTTACTTGAAGTTGTAATAGATTTGTTGTATTTGAATTGAAAGTGTTTTTGATAAATTGAAAAATCTTAATTTTATTAAATTTAAAGAAAATAAATTGATCAAAAATAATGTTTAAAACCTTAATTATTTTTCGAGAAAATGTTAAAAAACAATGAAAAGAAAATCTGTAAAACTTACAAATTCAACTGCAGTAGGAAGAATTGGTCCATGTTCTAACTCTAGAATATATTTAACTTTGGAAGATTTTTTGACTAGTTGCGAAGTCATCTTTAAATAAATTGTTTGTTAATTTTTAAATTAGTTTTGGAGAAAAATTACCGAAAGTTCGTTTAAAACAGAATGTCTGAAAGGGGAATGTGCAATTAGTGTTGGAGGAAGTCCATTTTGTGGCCCTGTTTTTGTGCAGATTAATTGTGGCTGACTTAAAAGTAAATTGTGAAAAGCCTCGGCATCTTTCGCTCCTCTAAACAAAATCATTTTTTACAATAATTCTAAAAAAATTTTTTATTACTTTATCACAATTGCAGAATGCAAAGAGTCTGTGGGAGGTGATCCGTGTGTACTCATTCGAGTTGTTTCAGCAGTTGGCAAACGATTAGAAGACAAACTTAAATCTGACGAATCAAGTTCTGAGGCACTTTAATAATAAAAAATAAATAAAAATATTAAAATTTTCAAACCTTTGTCTTAATCGAAAACTCCCTTTAGAAGAAATCCCCATATTTTCTAGCCACTCTCTGTGATCTAGCTCTGCTGTACAATCTTCTTCATTGGGCAAAAAATCTTTAGGGGATTCCTCTCGCGTTAAATCAATATATTCTGATTTGAAATGACGTGTAAAATGAATACCTTTAAATAATTTAATAAAAAATTTTTTTAATATTCGAACCGTTTTTCTGTAGAATCTGTCTAAAACCTGAAGTCGTCGGTGTTATAACAATTCTTGATTGAAAATTATTTTTAAAATTTGAAGTTCCCAGATTTTCACAATTTTTATTTGGAGATTGATAAATATTTGTAGTATTCTTCATTGGGGTTCTTTTCCTTTTTGGTGTTGGATTTTTGTTAAGAGGAGAAGCTTCACTATTATTCTTTTGTGGTGTTTTTAATTGTGAAATAGGTGAATTTAATGATGACAAATTTTTATTATATAAATTAATAAAAATAACGGTAAATTGTGTCGAACAAAGGTAGAAAAATCTGCGGTTACCATCAATCCAACGATTGAATAAAAATTTAAACGATTCATTCCTGATAGTAAAAAGATATAAAAATTTAGTATCTTAAACAAACCAATTAACTTTTAAAAACTCTATAAAATTTGATTCAATTGATTGTAAATTTGCACTTTTCAGAGTACTTTTTGCACCAACATTTCTTCGAGGATATAACTGAACAGAACCAATGGATGGAAACTGATAATAAATAGCGGCAGATTGTAGATAAACCAATGAATCAAAAGAATTTGTAGCCATCTAATATTATAAATATAAAGCATTAATAGATTTAAAAATGCTCACAAATGGAGAAAAATTGTCAAATTTTCTTGTTAAATCCATTGCTTTATCGAAATGATCGGATAAAATGTGTGAATCGAGAGGATAAACACCTAAAAATATTAAAAATATTTTTAAAATACTCTTAAATTTAAAAAACCTGAAGAAGTTATGGTTTCCATCCACGGAAAAGGCAATTCTGAAATAATTCTCAATTTCGTTCCCAAACGTAAATCATTTGGCAGATCTAACGAAGTAGATTTATTGTTACTTAGCGAAGTTGTCGCCGCTAGACTAGTTTTATTATTAGCTTGACTATGACAATTTAGGTGAGAAAAATCGATTGGAAAATCATTAAATTGCTGAAAATAAATATTTTGTAAATATAATCAAAAATTAATAAACTTTTTCGACTAGCTTTACATATGCTTTATCAATCATATTTGGTAAATCGAAGGCAGAACGCGCATCTGAATCATCCCAATCAGGTGGCAATAAATTCTGGTTAATGTTGGGAGAATCAAATTTAATAAACTTGTTAGCATCAACATGTTCTCGAAGTTTTAATCTTTTATTTGGAGATTTATTAACCTTAAATTTAACTTATAAATTAAAAACTAAAATAAAAATTAACCGAATAATTAGACTCGTATGCAAATTCGTTGTGCTGTAGAGAAGCAATAACAGAACAGGATTCTTGTATGGACAAAGACTCTTGCTCAAATAAATTTTTGAGTGATTTGCTAAAATTTAAAAGAATTTGGATATAGACATAAATTAAAAAAAACAAACCAGCTTCTGCGTTTGCTAAAGAGTCGCTTGGCTGCTTCTTTTGATTTTTCTCCAAAAGGAGAATAATGTAATCCTTTCTTTTTGCCGGAATGCCCTACCATTTAATGTTAATATACAATAAATTACAACTTAAGTTAAAATTTGGAAGAAATAGCTTGTATTAAAAAATAAAAATTTCAATAATCATTTGTAGTTTTCCACAATTAAGCGCAAACTTAATGAAATTTAAAAATCATTTTAGCGGTCGTTTTGTGAGGGCAAGACACTAGGGCGCGGACCAGTGTAAAGCCCAAAAACGGCGCAAACCCAAAACTGCGCACTGTCAGAACAACATCCCCTGTAATCGGAACAACCTTGCCGGTTGTTGGAACAACATTTGTTAATGTTGGAACAATCTTCCCTTGCGCGCACAACCTTATTGGACAATAAGGTTGTGTGTGTGTATTAATTCGAAGGATCTGTTTACCAAAAGGGTGGTTCGCGATTTTTGATCGATCACTAAGGTCAGATCGATCACAAACAGGTTGATCACTCGAGATAAATTGATCACTCTCACGGTTGATCATTTGATGATAACACGATTAATCACTCTATCACTGTGCAGTTAAGGGTTTGCGCCGTTTCGGCCTGCGCCGTTTTGGTCTCGCGCCGTTTTGGCTCGCGCTGTTTGGGCGTTTCCCGCGGGCCACTATGGCGCGAATTGTGTCTAAACTTTTTTGTATTTTTTTACAATTATGAAAATATCTAATACTAACTATCAATTTTTTAAACAGTTGTAACTTTAACAATGTCTCGAAAACTCAAAGCTAGAAATCTCAATCAGTTAGAAACTCAAACTGATAACGAACAAATTGTGCAAGATAGAGGAAATGAAATGCATGTTGATTTACCTGCACGACTCGATGATAATGAAGATTTACTTAATATGGAAATTCCGCCTCTTATAAAATCTATTACATACAAAGAAGGGTGTGAGCGTTTGGTGATTTCGCACATTCAAGTTGACAACTTTAAGTCTTATTTTGGGAAACGAATTATTGGACCGTTCCATAAGGTCTGCGATATTTTATTATAAACTTTATCTTCATTTTCTAATTCCAGTGCTTTACTTCAATAATTGGGCCAAATGGAAGCGGGAAAAGTAATGTAATTGACGCCTTGTTGTTTGTATTTGGTTACCGTGCTTCTAAAATTCGTTCAAAAAAGGTCAGTGTCCTCATCCATTCTTCTGCTGGGAAAGATGATTTAAATAGTTGTACAGTTGCAGTTCACTTTTGTAAGATAAACGACAATGTAAGTCCGAGAAAAGTTTTTTTATAATTCCCATTTTCAGCTTATTGGTAATGGTTACACAAAGGTTCATGGTTCTGATATTGAAATATCACGGACTGCATATAAAGATAATACTAGCAAGTAAAATAATTTTGAAAAAGAAATTCATAATTATATACTTAAATATAGATATACACTTAATGGGCGAACAGTGAAATTCAAAGAAATTGGCGATCTTTTACGTGCAAATGGAATTGACTTAGTTCACAATCGTTTTTTAATCCTCCAGGTTTAAACACAGAATCTTTTACTTTTTAATTTTCTGAATTAGGGAGAAGTTGAGCAAATTTCAATGATGAAACCTAAAGCTGAAACGGAAGATGAGGAAGGTATGCTTGAATATTTGGAGGATATTATTGGTTCAAGCCGGTTAAAACCGCTTGTTTTGAAACTTCATAGACGAATTGAGCAGCTAAACGAGCGTCGAGCTCTTCAACTTCAGCGAGTTCAACACGCAGAGAAGGAGAAAAATCAATTGGATGGGCCAGTCCGAGAAGTGTTAAAACTAATGCGTCTGGAGAATGCTTTGACTTGTTTGAACAACAAAATTTTGCTTTCAA